GATAAACTTACTAAACATGTATCCATTCACTCTCTATCAGATAAAAACTCATTAACTATTGTGGAAATGTTAAAAGAAATGTTCGCCATTTTAGGGAAACCGACTAAAGTTATAGCAGACAATGAGTTTAACATTTCTAACTTCAGAAAATGTTGAATATCATTTTACGTCACCTAATACACACACAGGTAATTCTGACATAGAACGCTTCCATTTAACGCTCAATGAGCACATAAGGATATTTAAACTAGATAAGAAAAACCAGGAAGTTGACGACAAAACTTAAGTGTTTAAAGCTGTACAAATTTATAACGATACAACACATAGCACGACTGGACATAAACCCATTAATCTTTTACATAAGCAAATTGATAAATCAGAGTGGCAAAAACTCTACGAACTTTTACATAAAACGAAAGAGAAAAATATAACCAAAATTAATAAAAACAGAGAAGATTGTCAAGATTTTAAGAATCGAGAACTAGTTAAAAACCTTGGTTTTCAAAATCTAAAACAAAAGCCAAAATATATTATTAAAAATGTTCAGGAAAAAGGAAAAACTCACTTTTTGGATGAAAATGGTTGCAAAAGAGACAGAAGAATAGTTAAAAGAAGATATAAATATCAAGAAGAAATAAATGATGTAAAATTTGATAGAAAGATAACTGGAAGAAATTATTCTAAAAGATCATAAAAAACATACCTGTATATATGTATGTACATTTACTTACATACACATTAGACATTAGCATTAACACATAAAAAGTATTGAGTTACATGTACGTTTTTAATTTGAATAAGTATATAATATAATTAGATTAAGCACATTTTATGTAATACTAGTGGAGTACTTTGTTTTTGTAAGAATTTTTACTTTTACATTCCCGGAGTAATGTATTGTAAAACGGTGGGGGAGTCATGTAAAACTCTCTTTCCTCTAATATAATCCTCTCTTTGATCGGAGGGTCTATCAGCATATACTCGTACATAAAAAGACCCGTTAATATTATTTACATCTCCTCATTTCCTTTTTCTCCTTTTTACTAGTTTAGTATGTAAGTTACGTTTCTTCTTAGTTTAGTTTGAATTTGTACTTGAACGAGTGATGTAAAGCTTTAATAACTAAAGCAAATAAATATACAACAAAAACCAATTACTTCGTGTTTTACTTTACTCTAGGTTCGGCCAAAAGAAAAAAATTTTTGTTTCGAAAATGCCTTACAAAAATGTTTTAGGGAACGTTCACACAGAAGGCCGAGCGGCGCCGAGCGAAGCAAGGTGGAACAAAGCACAGCTGGTGGTGTTCACACTGAACGAAGCGAAGTGTGCTTTTCTCATCGACTCTGCTGCAAAGATACCATAAAACTTACATATGTATTTGCTCAATTTTATTCAAAAGATTCGTTGTAAAATTCGTTTTTAATTAAATATTTTGATATCTTGTTTGCAGCAACGTTATGAAACATAAAAATTTAATAGAAAATTTAAAATCAACAAGTAATTTTTAAGCAAAAAACAAAACCGATTTCAATTGATATATAAAAAAATTATATATATACATTTCATGATCCAATGATCGCATCTAAACCAGATTAGTATGAGACCCCTCTGAGACGCTACCTTTCCGATGCAAAAAGAATCGGTTAACGTGGTCCAAAGTTATGCGGTAACATACATAAAAAAATATATATATATTCCGACGAACTGGTAACCTCCTCCTTTTTTGGAAGTCGATTAAAAACTTCTTTGTTTCAGCTCCAAAGCGCAATATGAAAGCTTTACCCAGCTCGGAACGGCTTCGCTCGGCTCGGCTCCGATTTCTGTGTGAGGTGTACGGCGATATTGGTTTTGTTTGCTTGTAAGGTGGTACGGTATATTTAATGTTCTTATGTGTCTGCCAACAATTCCTTATGGACAAAAAATATCGATAAAATCGGTATGACACTTAAATTTGATCGAAAAAAGGACCCTAAATTCTGCAATTTGTTAAAAGTATAAATATTCTAAACCAAGATATCGCTCCTCGACAAAAAAAAAACAAAAATAAAAAACAGTATTGATAAAATTTCAAAACAAAATAACAAAGGTAAACAGTTTGAATAAAATTTAATGTTTTTAAGTTTTGACTAATAGAAACTTTCGTCACAGAGTGGCACATGTCTCACCGTTATCGTAATTTTTTATAAGAAATAACGCTCATTTTCGTTTTGTGCCGTTTTTCAGTAATACCAGTGGAGTTATTTTCATTTAACTACTTAGGAGTTGTTACTTACCTCGTATTTTTCAATCCAATCCTTACTAAATCTTAAAAAAAAAGTCACCATTTGAAAGCTTACAAATATTCCCTACAAAATAAACGCAAATAATCCGGAATAATTACGTTCCAAGACATATAATTGCTAAATTACGCAACTCAAAATCGCAGGCAACCAAATTCTTCTTTTTTTGTTCATTAGCCGTTTCTGCACCTTAGAAAAGGGTGGGTATCATTGGAGGTCAGTAGAGCGTGAGTTTTGTTTGTCGAGAGAGAGAGCTCTGCTTTCGAATTGCCTATCAAGCCCAATGCAGCAAATTGGCAAGAGTTAATCTACGCTTGATTCCCAAACTGCCGTTCCTGATAGTGTTTATGCTAGGTTCTAAGTAGGCAAAGTCCTCTAATACTTCAACTAACTAACTAGCAGCAGTGATGTATGTTCCAATACGCGGTGCTCTTTGTGTGTTGCCGCTTGTCTTATCTTCGTTAGACCCTGCTAGACCAACCTATGCTATCTACTTTTCTAAACTAGAAAATCTGCGCTCAGCACCCTATTGAGGCTAACGAAGTCAGTGTCATCTACACATATCTGCAGCATCCTGCTTTGCGTTATATGGTACCGGTCTCAGTCATAAGGGCATGTCGTATTAAACTTTCCAACATCATATTGAGAAAGCCACACGATAGTGAACGGTCTTAAAAGCTAAACGCTGTGATTATCCGTACTAGTTTTGCGGTAATCCCAAAATTAGCAGTTTTCTAGCTTGGTCTAGATATTTTATGGTAGCCCTTATTCCGAGCCTTAACCGCCAAAATAACGTAAGCGACATTTTTTTCAAAATTTTATTTTTGATGCATAAGTGCATCTAGATGCTCTAGGAATATTTCTGCATCAAAAAGAAAATTTTGAAAAAAATTTCGCTTACGTTATTTTGGCGGTTAGGGCTCGATTCAGTCCCTCCAACCTTAGGCTATTACTGAAATTAAGCACTTTGGAGGGTGTCATATTCAAGATTCTGGATGAAGATGATAATCGTTCTCCAAGGTGTATAAGTCTATAAGCCGAGTTACACGCGGGCAATCACATAATTTGTATATGATCCGAGGTTTCCTCGTCTAGTGGTACCTCATTTTGCAGTGTCCGGTATCCGGTCAGTATCCGGTTAGAGTTCTTAAACCTTCTCTGCTAAGATTTAATATAAATCTTTTGCACTGCCTTTTGCCTTTGTCGTGCAATTTACAACTTGCAAGTCCTTCCATCGCCTTTGGTCCTTCGCTGTGCATCTTCTGGATGGAATAAAGAAAGGCTGAGAGCCGGTCAGGGCAAGTGCTCTAGGCCTGACTATCCGAAATGATATTTGTTGTTGCTCCATTAGTCTTTCTGCGAAAACATTCGTCGACATAGACTCCAATTGCAATAATTTCTGCTTTTTAGATGTTTCAATGCTGGTGCTTAGTACTACTAACTACTATGTACCATGCCGCGGTGAAGTCGATCCGCGTCTCTTCTTTGTAGGAGGTGTTGTCAATAAAGCTGAACTTTCCGACTTTGGAACCAGATACCTATGCCTTCTTTGCTCACCCAGTATTTAAAGTCGCCAAGCGCAATCTTAGCATCGTATGGGGGCAGCGCTCTTATGCCCCGTCAAAGTATACACAGAATTTCTCTTTGGCCTCATCATCGTTCTTCTCCAGGAGAGCATAACCACAAGTTATCATTAGAAGAAACTAGCGGCATATTTGTGCTCATATTCGTTATTGATGTTTTTATAGACTCATATATTTATCGATAAAAATTTTGATATTGTTGGAAATTATATATTTTTAAAGACAGTTATAAATATGAGTAGTCCACTTGCAAAGTGCGCTATGTAAATTTTTTTCGATTTTAGTTTTTGGTGGTTAACGTACCAGTATTTAAAGTAGTTTCATGTCCACTAACAATACAGTGCAAAATCTTTATATATTCTGAAAAAAATAGCATCAAATGTTAGCTACTCTAGCAAAAGTCGCTATAATACTTACTGTATGTATATATACACTTTCAAAAGTCGCTATAATATTTATTGTACGTATTTATACAAGTTCAAAAGTGTCCATCTTCTGATGAACTTAGAAAACTGCAAAAAAACGTGGTAGTTTCGGTGCCTAGTGGAAGACGTCATAAAAAAGAAGCAGACCAACCTTCATGGAAGAGAGAACGCGAAAAGCTTAAAAAAGCTGGCTATATAAAACTTACTGTTTCAAAACTCGCTATATTTAATTCCTATATATTAAATTTGCAAAAACTACCACATTGCGATTTTGATTTTTAATGTTATTAGGCTCTTATTTATCAAAATTTTCAGATAACAAAAATAAATATACAATTTGGATGTTACTTGTTGTTGTAGACGTTTTTTTTCATTTATGGCTTACTATTATAAAATCACATAACGCTGTTTGCAAGTGGACTACTCATATATTTATTGATAAATCTATAAAAAAAAAACCTTATCAGTATCCGCACTTGTATTACTTGGGAAATTGATATTACTATAATATGTTTTCGAACTCGTTTTAAACATTTCTCAATTTTTTTTATTAACTTCAGTTCGTTGTAACTCTAGTTTTTCAGTATCACTTGGTGTTTACAATTTTTAAAGACTTTGCGCGCATAACCATCCCCATTTCCCTTAAAGTAAAATTTTTACCCTATTCAAACCTAAACTGTTCTATATCAAAGTGTTTACTTTTAAAGTCCTGTTCAATTGTTCTTTAAAATCTAAAAAACGTATAACATATTTATAATTTCGCATATCGTCTAACCCTTTCCCACTCACCTGTGCACACTTCAATTGCTGTTGTGCAATTTCCAAGCTGGTTGCCGGCGCATCAAGCTCATTCTGTATAACCGGTTCATAGGCCTCCATGTTGCGCATTATGCTGTCCAATGTATCCTCATACTCCTTGAACTTGGCCAACGACTCGTGCAAGCGATTCTTGATTTGAACAGAAGTTTGCAACAATGAATTGTAGCTTTCCTGAATATTCTTCAACTGTTCTTCGACCGTATCGCGTATGGCTGGGGTCGTTGGGGCGTAACGTTTAATTTGCGCCTGTCCCTTCGCATTCAAATCATCCAAGTTGGCTTGATATTTTTGTATTTCATCCAACAAAGCTTCATGTTGCTTGATTTGTTCCTCGGTCTGTTCACGATTCGAAATGAACAGCGAATTGTGTGCCATCAATTGGAAGGAAATTTGCAGCAGCCATTTCTCAATATCCTGCAAGCTCTGATGATAGGCATTATAGGCGGCCATTTCGTTCTCGAGACCCTTAATGTAGGCAGCGCAATCATTCTTCACCTTCTCCCAGCGCGCCTGCTTTTGATGCACAGCGTCCACTTCAGTGCCCAAACGCTTAGCTTCGCCCAACAAATTTTCAATTTCGCCACCTTTCTGCTTAATTTCATTCTGCAGCGTTTTGTAGCGTTCGAGCAGCGTCTTCATTTCGCTCAATTCACCCTTAGTATCGGGTGCGGTTTTGAGTGTCTTTTCTGTATCAGTGAGCCACTTCTCGAGCTTATCGCGATTGTTGGCGAAGTCTGACCAGCGATTTTGTGCTTGTTTAAGGTCGGTCAACTTCTGCTTGACAGCAAGACCCAAAGCATCCCAGTCCTCACGCACTTTGGTCATTAGGTCGCGCAAAATCTCTTGCTTGCCTTCGGGTGTCACATTCGAAGCTTTCGTGTAGGCATCTTGTACCATGCCGAGGAGGTGTTGGCCTTCGGGAAGCCGAGATGCAAGCGACTGTGAGGAAAAAAGAAAAGATAAGAAATAAATAATTTGATTGAAGAAAGCCGTTGTAAATACATAAGTATAATTAATAAGATAGAAAGGAAGGAAATAAATTTCCGGGCAAGTCCAGTCGTAGATTAGCACAAGAGATTTGAAATTACTTAGACGATATTAAACGTCTTGGCTCAGTTAGCATTTGGCGGCATATAAAATCTTCTGAATCAATGGCGAAACAGCACAATTCTGGCTAAGATAGTTGAAAGTCTTCTGTAAGAAAAATGAAAGACAGTAGCCATGTTTTGAAAGATTTTGTTTATTCTGGCCCGAAAGTCCTCCAAAGAAGCACTCTTGCCAACTTTCATGGTGAAAAGCTCTTTGACAGAAAGCTCGCGCTGCTGCAACAGGCGCAAAGGCCGAGTGCGCAAAGGCCGAGTGCCCAAAGCACTGACGTGTCATTCGAGTGATGCGAGGCTCAAGTCCTCGGGCAGCAGAATTTTTTATAATTATTTTTTTTCGTTTTTAAATTAATATTAGATTTTATTGATTTATTTGTTTTTTTTATGTATTTTTTAAAGTTAACTTTTTGCTTTTTTTAATTTGATTTTTTTTTCGTTATTAATTTAGTTTTCTTTTAGTTGTAAGATTTTATTGCTTCAAAAATAAAAGTGTTTTTCTAATATTTAATTTTTAGAAACTCTTTTATTTTTTCTTATTAAATTTTTATTAAAGTTTAAGAATTTATGGTTTTAAAATTTTTCTTTTTAATTCGTCTAATTTTTATGAAGTTATTTAATTTATTTCTTTAAAAAAAATTGTTTATCTTTTTTTACTTAATGTTTGGGCATGTTCCAAATGAAGATGTATGTAAATCATTTTCCTGGCGCTGCTCCAACTGTAGCCATGGCCGAGTGGGCAAAGCACTGGCGTGCCGAGGCTCGAATCCCCAAGCAGCGTATTTTTTTTTTAATAAACAATTTATTTATGTTTTTTTGTTTAATGTAATTGTTTCCAATATTTAGATAGTATTTTTTTATAAAAATATATTTTTAGTAACTTGTTTCATTTTCTATTTTTTCGTTTTTTAATTTAATTGATAGATTTAATTTTATTGCTTTAATAAGACAAATACTTTTTTATTTTAATTTAATTTTTAAACACTTTTTCTTTCATTTGTAATGAAATTTTTTTCTTTTTTATTTAAATTTTTTTGATTTTGTTGCGTTAAAAAATAGCATATTTTTTATTTCACTTAATAATTTTTTGGAAATTTCCTTATTTCTTTTTCCTGATATATTTTTTAATTTCTTGTAATTCCTTTTAATTTTTAGATAATATTATTTTAAAGAGAAAAAATACTCTCTTTTTACTTTAATCATTTAATTTTTAGGTACTTTTTATAATTTTGCACTCCGTGGCCATATATGGATCAGAGTCGCTCGGGATATGTGGATCAGACTATCGTGGCAACAATGCATTGCCATTATTTCGGCCTGATTATTTTCTAATTAGATTTATGGCTACCATCCCAGAGATACATATGCATATTGTAAAAAACTGGTTGAGTTGACCACGAAAGGTATCCACGAATCGGTCTCATCGAAAAAAGAGAGGATGTGAGGACTTTTAATTACAGGGCAGCTATTATTTTACAGATGTGCCTCCCTTCAGTTCAAAGAAATTGCATAAATTCTTAAATTTAGCGCTAAATGCTTAAAACATCTCTCTTGAGTAGTTTAATCATTTTACTTACATTGACAGTCTCCAATTGTTGGGCTATTTCGCTAACATCACCATCTGCAGTGCAGCCATCCAATATCTGTTGGGCTTTCTCAATCCAGGCGTCCATTTCCTTCTTGTAGTTCAAGAATTCGGTGTGATCAGATAGATTCTTTTCAATCTTGGAAACAAGACCTAGAAAACAACAAATCATTAATAAACAAAAAGTCTAATAAAATCCAGCAAGCCACCAACCTTGTGCTGATGTCAGCAATTTGGTGTAGTTGGCCTGTGTCTCGACGGTCTGATCGCGAACGCGCGTGCAGGCGCTTTGTTCCATAAGCAATTCACAAGCGTCATTCAAGTCCTCCACATTGTCTTTTTCCGCCAAAACTTCTTCCAACAAATTCTGCGCGTAGAACGTAAGGGGAAAAGGTGTTTTAAAATTTATTTTGGAAAAAAATGGTTAGCAGTAGTACAAGTTTTATTCATTTTACAACAAAAATAATTTTTAAATGATTTTTAGTATTGATGAAAATACTTTCTCAATAAAAAAACAAGTGTCATCTAAAAAGCATAGTGTTTTGTACACTGTGTTTTGTAGGTGAGACGCAGCACTTATTAGGATTACCTACGGCTATGTGTGAATATCCAATGACTGAGTAAGCTTAGTTGATTAGTTAGTTAGGTATGTGTGTGTTTAGTAAAAGCACAGCAGGGGGTATTTGTTTGGTTAGTAGCTGGTGAAGAAAATGAATGAACTTACCTTGGCATATGCCAAGTCGTCGGTTGTATTATTCTCAGCTTCGGCGGCGGCAGCCACGCGCTTGCTAATACCATCAATCCATTTGTTGATTTTATTGAAATCCTGCAAGAACGCATTCCACTGTGAAAGGCAATTCTCCAAATTGGCGCGCGCATCACGCAACATCGCTTGCAGCGCTTCCCATTCGGCGACGAGTTGTTTAATTTCCTGCGACACCGCATCTTGTCCCTCACTACCGCTGGTCGCAATAACAGCTTGACTCAGCTCTTTACAGGCATCGAGCAGTGATTTGCCTTCCACCATTGAAGCGCCAATATCACCCAACTTATTGAGGCGATCTTCAACTTGCACCTTCTCGCCATGACAATCGGCACACTGTTCAATTTCGATGCGTGTGCGGCGTAGCCAATCTTGTGTCTCATTGAATGCCTGCTTGTATTTGTCGTGATTGTTCACCTGGTTCTCGAGTGATTCGATAATCTTGCCAACAGTCTCCTGCAAGTTTTCGTATTTGTTGAGACCTTCACGGAAATCGTTCGGGTCCAGACTGTTGTCTTCATTCAAGCGCGCATTGATCTTCTCGACAATGTCATTATGGCCGTTGATGTCGCGTTGTATGGCGCGGAATTTCTCCAGCGCGGCGCGTTTTTCGCTTAAATCATTCAAGAAGTCATCGCTTGTCTTGACGCTGGGCTCGATGTCGTCCAGCCATTCGGTGAGCAGCTTATGCAATTTGTAAACCTCTTCTAATTGCGCTAGGCGATTTGCCAATTTCTGGCTCACATCGTTCATGTCAATCAGCAATTGGTCGAAGTGTTGCTTCAAAGCGTCGGTGTCTTCTTGCACCTTGGTAGCGCCACTCTGTTCGGTATTCATAATCACCTTCTCTTTGAGCTCCAGCAAATAGCGTAGCTTATTTTGCCCAGACTCAAAACCTTGACGCAAGTTCTTAACAGTACTCAGCTTGATTTGCACCTCATTCAAAGTGCCCGGTATCTGCGCGCAATCGGCGAGCTTTTCGCGTGTCCTCTTAATCCACGACTGGCATTCCTCGTACAGGGTGCGGTGCTGTTGGTGCTCTTGGTAGTGCAACTCCAGCCGACGCATAACTTCCTTGGCCAGCGTGAGCAGCGTGTTGTACTTGGTTGTCAACTGCATGATGGCGTTGCTGACGCGCGTGTCGGAGCAGGTCTCCAGCAGCATTTGCGCTTTCATATTCAAATGATCCAGTGTTTTCTGCCAATCGAATAGTGTCTGTAGGTGACCTTGGAACTCTTCCAGTACCACCTTTTTGCGCGCCAAACTATCCTGCAATTTGTTGTATGACTGCACCAACGCTTCTGTCTTCGTGAGCCATTCCAGCGCTTCGCTATATTGCTCTTGGTAATCTGACCACTTGACAATGCCAACCTCCAAATAGTCCTTGGCCTTCTTCAACGCCTCCACGTAGGCGTCGAACTCCTCTTGCAACAGCGCCACTTCCTCTTCAATGATCTCACGATCCTCGGGCTCAGCATTGTGGCAAGCGATTTCGCCTTGTGTCAGCACCGCTTCCAGCTGCTTTTGCCCCTCAGGCACCTCACTTTGCAATATCTTCAGCTGGTGTGTCTTCTCGGCCAGCGCTTGCTTATCGCCTGTGGGCTCTGCACACTTGCTGAGGCGCTCTTTGGCACTGCGCAACCAAGCAGCGAATTCGTTGCCCGCATCAATGAGCGCTTGGTATTGGTCGATTGTATTCTTTTGCTTCTCATACAAGTCCTTGGCCTGCTTTGTGAGCGTCTCATATTTGTACGATATCTCGGAGGCTGGCGCTCCCTGTTGTAGGTCGGACGCCTTCGAAGCAACCGATTGTATCATCGGTTCAAAGGACACTATATCTTGCACAATATTGTTGGTCTGACGCAAATTAGCTTTACGCTCGCTCAGGCCGGACGTTAAGCCAGGTTGGCCGCGCTTCGATTTTACAATCTTCTGCTCGCATGCCTGTTGCAACTTGGACTCGCGATCGCTTATCCATTGTTGCAATTGGAAGTAGCTTGAGCTGTAGTCAGCCCATTGTAGCAGGTTGGTCTCCAACTGCACCTTAGCAGTGGACATTTTCTTCACCAGCCTGTCCCAGTCATTCTGCAGCTCCTTCATTTCATTGTTGATGGCATCACGTCCATCGGAGCGCGTGTTTCTTACCACCTTCTCGCCGTTGTTTATTGCTGTGTGTACCAAGTTCTGTCCCACTTCACGATTTCTGATCAACTGTTGAATCTTCTCCAAGCGCTTTTGCAGCAGCTCTTTCGAGCCAGCGCTGGAAGAGTCACTAGCCTCGCGTATGGTTTCTTTCGCTACATTAATCCAATCTTGCGCAGCCTTCAGATTGGCGTTGTATTCACGATGTTGGTCACGATTAGTTTCGACCTTCTTCAGCACATCCTTAGCGAGATTTACTTGCACCTGGTACATTGAGTTCAAATGGCGCAGCTGGTTCGTCACATAAGACTCCAAGTGAGATTTTAGTAGTCCCGCGGAGGAGGCATTGAATTTATCGATATCATCTTTGCCCTTCTCAAGGCTCGACATAACATCTTGCATATCCGCCACCTGTTTCTCCTTTTCCGGATAGCTAGGTGACAAGTTTAGTTTGTGATTCTTGACCAATATATCAATTTGTTGCAGCCATTCGATTAGGCGCTCGTATTCGTCTTTGTAAGCACGCCACTGCGTCATAGTCACCTCCAAGCTCTCCTTCTGCTGGTTGATCTCACGGAAGAGCGACTCGAAGCTGTCGCGCAGCGCCCGTATATCGTTGCGTATGATCTCTTGACCCTGCGGCGACGTGCTGGTTATCACAACCTCGCCAGTGTGCACCAAATGTTCCACTAATAATTCACCCTGCGCCTGCTTATTCAGCATAGCTTCAGTGGCCTGCACAGCATTTTCAATAGCCAGCTTGTCGCTGAGACTGCTCTGCTTAAGCGAAGGGAATTTCTGGCGCGCGCGACTTATCCAACTTACGAAATCGTCATAGGCTTCCTTGTAGAGCCTATGATCTCTGTACTGATCATGGCGATCGGAGAGCAGCTTCTGTATGCGCGCACAGAGTTCATCAAAAGTGTCGAGCACCTTTTGTGCCTGGTACGCGGCTTGACTTTGTTGGCCGCTAGCAATCATTTCTCTTGCCTGCACTTTCAAAGCATCCACATCAATCTTCTCCATGCGCACCTTCTCTTCGGTGGCCTTCACGCGATCGAGCTGTGCGCGCTTCTCAGGCATTGTGGTTTGATGTTCGGCAAGCTCTTTGAGCACGTTCTCCAGCCATTCGTTGAATTTGCGTACGTTTTGTACTTGTTCCAGAAAACCGGACCACTGTGTAATCGAGTCATCGAGTGTGGCTTTCACGTCGATAATGCGCAAAGCAATATTCGACCACAGCTCTTGCAGATCTGCCAACTTCTTGTTGATCGCTTCGTGGCCGGTTGGTGCTGTATTGGCCAGCACGTTCTGCGCCAACTCAACAATGCTGAGTACTTTCGCAGAGCCCTCATCCTTTAGCAGTATGATGTCCTGTATGGTTGCTAATTTCTTATCCAACTCCTTCTGACTCATGGAGGACATATCGGCGCAGTAGTCCAATTTGTCTTTGATGCCATTGATCCAGGTGCCGCACTCAGAGACAGCGTTGTCGAATTCTTGATGCGAAGTAACATATTGTTGCCAGCGGTTGTTGAGTTCTTTCACTTTATGGAAGATCTGCTGATATTTCGTCGTTAGTTCTGGGCCCGAAGAGCGCATGCTGGACGCGCCTTTAAGCAATGTTTGGCCTTTCTCGGAAACGCTGTCAATTTCCAGCTCCTTGGCGCGCATCTCACCTTGCAGATTCTTCAGCGCCTCCAATTGTGCCTTCTTGTCATTTAGCGTGGGCTTCAAGTTAATCGCGTGCAGCTTGTTGTCCGATTCGCGTATCCAAGCCAAGCACTGATCGCGTAGCTGCTCATATTCGGCCCATTGTTGCAGCCTATTCTCGATAGCTTCAATTGTCGACGTGATGGCGGCGATAAGGCCTTCCCACTCTTGTTGGGTAGTGTCGATTTGTGACTTGATATTCGTCTGTCCACTTTCGACTGTTCCTGGTATGACCTTCTCACCCAAGGCCCGCACTTGATCCACACGCGCGAACTCATCAGCCAAACTGTCCTTCAGATTCTTCAAGCGGTCCAAGTTTGTATGCAACGACACCTGTTCCAAATCCAAATCGCCCCAGTAATCAATGGTGTTGTGCGTGGCCTCGATGTACTCTTGTGCCTCCATCACGGCCTTGGTGTACTGCTGATGATCGCTCACAATAGCCTCGTAGCGCTCGACGAAGTTCTGCGCGCGCTTATGCAATTTGCCGAATTGCTCAGCAATCTCTTTGGTTATTTGCTCGACATGATCGTTCTTCTCTGGCAAGTTGCTAGCAATTTCTTGCAGATTCTTCACCTCGACTTGGTGATTATTGAGGTCGTTGAGCACATCGCGGTAGGATTGCAGTTTTGCACGCTTCTCATCCAAAGTGGTTTTCAATTCGATCTCAGCTGGCAGCGTCTTCTCGACTTCAGCCAACCAAGTCTGCAATTTCTCGGCAATTTCGTCGAAACCAGACCATTTGGACATTTTGTCTTGTATCTTTCTGGAGGTGATTGTCACATTGTCGTAAAGCTTGTCGAAGGCCTCTTGCAATTCGGCCAGCTGCACGCGTATGGCTTCACGTCCCTCTGTGGTAGTGGACGAATAGCACTTCTCACCCGCTTCGATGGTGCTGTTCAACATCAGTAAAGCATTGGGCTGCTGTGCCAATAGCTCTTGGATTGCAGTTTGCTTTTTAAGCAAATCATCGCGCGAGCCCACCTGCGAGAGATCGCTGGAGTCGTCATACTTCGCTTGCGCATTTGCCAAGAAATTGGCGCATTGCTTGTACTTCTCATTGAATTGTTGATGTTCGTACACAGATTGTTCGCATTTCTTGAGTATCTCCTTAGTGGTCGCTTGTATCGACTGGAAGCGTGAAGTAACTTGTTGTACATTAACGGCGATTCTGGTCTCACCAGAACTTTGAATCAGCTCCGATGAGTCGTCTTTCATTTTTTCAAACTCAATTTCGTTTTGACGCAAATTCTGCATCAACGATTGGAAACGATTCAATTGCTCTTCCTTCTCCTCCATCGTCGACTTGGGATTGTAGTTCTTGAGCGCATTCTCAGCTTCGCTCAGCCAGTTGATCAGCCGATCCAAGTTGACTTCGTAGTCGCTCCATTGTTGCAGGCGATTTTCTAAGCCACTCTTCACATCGCTTAGCGCAGCGCTAAACTTATCGAAGTCGGCGTGCAAGTTGGCTAAGTCACGCGACATTGCCTCCTTCGAGCGCGCTGGCAGCAACTTGGCTTTCTCGTCAATGTGCGCGGAGAGGTTTCGCAGCTTAGAAACGCCCTCGGGTAAGGCATCTTGTATTTCGGATATCTTATTTAGGCGCGCTTGTAAGGCTGGCTTGTTGCCGGAGTAATCTGAGTAGCCGGTCAGCCGGTCCCACAGATTCTTTTGATAATCTTGTTGCGCTTTTTGCAATTCGCTGAACTGCTGATACACTTCGAATGCCTCTTCGAGTTGGCCAAGCAGTGTGGCGCAATCGGCAGCAACTTTTTCATACCGTTTGTTTACATCAGCAATGGCGCCCTTGATTCCATCGACATTTGTAGGCGCACTGCCCTCCAAGAGTGCAGCAGCCTTTTCACTCACAGCCTCAATGATGCGTTTGTGCGAATTGATGTCGTGCGTAGTGGCTTTGTACTTGTACAATTTCGAGCGTATTTCCTGCGCGCTGGTCCAAGTGCTGGGATTTTCATTTTGTAACACTTTTTCTACCTGGTCCAACCAGTTGAGTGTCTGTCCGAGTATGTCCTGATAACTCGATAGCTGCACACTTTGTGCTTCTTGTCGCTTCTGCAGATTGCGTATGCCTTCGTCTAATTTATCCCAGCGTTCGTGTATGTCACGCAAGTCTTTGCGTATCTTCTCGCGTCCCTCAGTGGAGGTTTCAGGCAAAGCCTTTTCGCAGGCTGCATTCAGCGCGCTAAAGAGCGCTTCAGCCTGTTCGCGCTCAGAGAGTAGAACTTGCAAGATGTTAGCAGCTTGGGAGGGTTCATTCTTCAAAGCGTTGTCCAATTGCTGCTCAATCAGCTGCAACCACAAATCAACTTCGTTGTACTTGTCTTGATAGATTTGATGATCGTCCACCAAGTTCGACCAGCGATTGACGACCTCTTTGCTCAGTACTTGCAGTAGCTGGTAGCGGTTGGTGATCTGTGTGGTGAGCGTCTTGAGACGTTCCGCGCCACAGTTGTTCAAGAGCGCATGCGCAGCATCAGCGAATGCGTCAATCTCTTTCTCCTTCTGCAAGATGAGATCGCGTTGGATTTTGAATTTTTCTAACTGTTCCACCTTCTCGTGCAATGTTGACTTCAGTTGCTGTTCGCGGAAGACGCCTTCCGCCTGGCGACACCACTTAGTGAGCTCTTCAAGTTTTCGCTCGAAGTCGTTCCATTGCTGTAGTACATCCTTTTGCTTACCTTCGATTCCTTCGATATCATCGAAGTGACTTTTGACTGTAGTTTCCAGCTCATCGATCTCTTTTTCAAGTATTTCATTACCTCTTTCCGAAGTTGTCGCTTTCACCTTCTCGTACTGTTCGCGTATTTCCGCGATTAACTTTTGCGCGTTTGGTTTACTCTGAGCCAGCTGCACGAGCGTCCCTATCTTGCGTTTGATGTCAGCCTTTTCGCCATACGCGTCGTCGCATTCCAACAATTTTTCCTTTTCGCCAGAGATCCAAGTCTTTGCGGCTGCAATTTGGTTGTTTAGGTCTGTATGGTCCACCACACACTTGTCTAAATTGTTTAGTATCTCTTCAGATTTCTGCACAATGCTGTTGAACAGCTGCTTGATGGACTGCAGATAGACATTCAGCGTATTGTCCTTGATCTGATCGATCAGTACCTGCGCCTTGTCACAGACGTTGTCCACCAAAACGTTGTATGTCGTGATTTCCTGATGGAGCAACTTGTGATTCTGCAATTTTGCGCGCTTCTCTTGCAGCGTAGTCTTCGGTTCCGTGTGACTCTGCATCGCCTTGTCAACATCTTTCAGCCACTTGGTCAACTGATCCTTGGCGATATTGAAATCGTTGAACTGTTGCAGACAGTGATCGATCTTTTGCGTAGCCGCATTCAGATCATCGGAGTAGTTGTCCCACATGGTGCGCAGCGTACGCAACTGGTGGCGTATGATCTCACGTCCATCGGGACTGGTGTGTCCGTAGAGCTTCTCACCGCGGTCGATCAAACCCTCAAAGGCTGTTGAGTCGTTAATACGTTTATCAGCCATTTCGCGCAGTTTGCTTTGATGTTCTTGCAAGATGTTTTGGTCGCCAACAATTTCCACGTTTTGCGCCAGATTTTCAATACATTCTTGTAGGTCCTTCTTGAACACTTCATAGTCGGCATCGAAGGTTTCATGGTCTTTGGCGTAGTTGGCATACTTCGCAATGGACTCCTTGCAGAGGTTCTTCAAGGTCTGATAGCGCGTATTGATGCGCGATAATTTCAGGTTCAAATCGGTTTCACCCTCGATCTCACGACCCTGGGCGAGTAGATCGTTGATGGACAAAGCGCGTTGATCGATATCCTTGGCAATGCTTTGCAGCTGTACCAAATGCGCTTTCTTTGTGCCAGCCGTGCTCTTTAGACTCTGATTCTTTACAACGTTCTCAACATATTTCATCCAGTTGTCAATCTCGTCGATAATAGATTCAAACTCATCCCATTTCGAGCAAAGCTGTTTCAGTTTTACGAGCGTATCTTGACACAGCGTCATAAATTCATCCCAAGACTTCTTTGGTTCTTCAAAGCTACGCAACAAAGCTGGATGTCCGCTTGGATGTGTTTGCGTCAGCATGGTTTGTAGCAGCTGCTGACATGTGTCGAATATCGAGTCGCCTTCGGGTTTGTGCTGCAGTAGATTCTCAACCACAGTCAACTTTTCTTCAGCGCCTTCCTTCTCAAATGTCGTCTCATTCAAAATGTCTATGGCCTCTGACTTAATGGTGTTCAGCCAATCTTGTGCCTTCTCCAGCACCTGATCGTATGCCTCATGCTTGACCACTTGGTCACCTACAACATTGATGCGTTCGGCGATTTTCTTGAACAAGCCATTGTATTCTTCAATCGACTCTTCGGTCTTACGCTCAGATTCGTCGTCGCAAAGCGTCACGGCTTTGTCGTGTAGCTGCTTCAGCGCATTTTTATGCAATGTAATCTCTTGCAGCTGTGTCTTGTAGTTCTGCAAGGCGCTCTTCTTGGCAGCCAGCGTGGGGTAGAGTTCATCGGCTGCGGCCACTTTCGCCTTAGAATCGTTGAGGTAGTGCAACACTTGCGTGTAACTCTCCTCGATGGATGTCTTCTGTATCAAGACTGCCTCAATCTGTTGTAAGAGCGCGTTGGCTTCGTCACGCAAGTAGTCGTAGTTTTCGCGTATGCCACGTAGCTCGGCGCGTATATTCTCACGATACTCAGGCGTCACAACGGGGTATAGCGCTTCACCAATATCAACGGCATTATTAAGCAGTACCTGGCCATTGTCGAACGTCTTCAGGTAGTTCTTAACCGTTTGCAATTGGTGCGCGGTGGCCGAAGACGAACCGGGCGAACCCATGCGCGCCAACTCTTGGAACTCAATCTTGGCATCGGTGAGCCATTCGTTGAAATCTTTTGCAGCTGTCACGAAGTCGCTATTGGCGCGTTGTGCATTATGCACCTTATCGATATAGCTGGCTAAACTCTTCGCCACAGTTTGGTAGCGCTGCAGCAGATGTGTCACAAACTGTCCAATGCGTGCTTCAGGGTTCTTTGCCATCAGCGACTGTGATGTTTTCTCTAAGTTCTGCATTATCGGCTCATGCGCTTTTATGTCTTGTTGCAAGAGCGCAAGCTCCTGCAATTTGTTCACGATCTCTGGTACACTAACTTGATTACTCGTTTCGGCTTTGATGCGCCCTTCAATGTCGCGCAGCCACAAGGAGAGCTCTTCATTCGCTTGCTCATATTGTGACCATAAATCGACATTTTCATCTAGCACATTCTTGATTTTGTCGAAATTGTCCTGAAGCGCCTTCATTTCACCATTCAACAGCTCTGCATCGTTTTGCAAATCCTTGAGATTTTGTGGTGATTCGACGGCTTGCAGCAACGCTAAGGATTTGCCAATTTCCGCATTACGCTTGTGGCAATTGTCAATTGCCTTGCTGACCTCTAGCAGTGAAGAACGCTTAACGTCCAGATTGTATTTGTCACTTGTCGACTCAGGCTGGCACCAAGCCACCTTCTCGCGCTGCGTGGCGATTATGCGCTTCAGCATGCCCACCTTGTCGGCATGGAATTTCTTGAGGAATTGCAGCAGTGAGGACTCGATCTTCTTTGCATGTGCATCGACAGCCTCAAAGCGCTTCTGCACATTGTTCAATTCCTTGGGTATGATTGACTCGCTGAATGTTGGATACAGCGCACGCATCTCGTCGACGCGTTGCTTGATATTGTCAATCTCGTTTGCGCTGTTGTCCAGTTCGGCGCGCAGCTCGCGGCACGTCAACAGGCGCTCCATGATTTTGCTCGGCTCGCCGGACATGTCATCGCATTTGATGAGCTGCTCGCGCAGCTTATTCACTTGCTCACCAGCGTTCTTGATCTTCTTGCGCAAGTCTTGCTCCTGTCCATTGAAGGTGGAAGTGACTGCTTCTAGACGCGCAGCATTCAAATCGACCTCCTGGAATTGCGCCGTCAGCAGCTTGTTCAGCTCAGTAAGCGCTGGAATTTCAACACCACTATTGACGTTTACAAGCTCGCGACTCTTCTCCGCGATGGTATTTTTCAATACCTGATAAGAGGGCAGTTCGGTGCGGAACTTTGTCAAACGCATAGGACCGAACTCAATTTCGATTGAATTATCGGCAGCATCACAGAGACCTTGATTGGTCTCAGTCAGCCAGGGTAGTAGCTCCTTCTTAGCGTCTTCGATTTGTGACCGGATGACAGCCTCTGTTTCATACATATGCGCATTATTTGCCGTATTGTCGTGCAAATCTTGCCATTGCTGCTTGGCTGCCTTCACACCGTTAGCAATTTCTTGTGGCACAACTTCACCGATGGCATCAAATAACTTCGCCACATTATTGCCGCGACGTTCGAGGTCGTCCAGATTCGCCTTGGACTTGCGTACTTGCTCCATTGTCTTGCGTGTCTTTTCGGCGGCTTGTTGCAACTTGACTTCATCGCGTGGTTGCTGTGGTATGGCATTGAAAAGATCCTCAGCCTTCTTGAGTTCCTTCTCAAATTTATCCTTGGTGTCGGCGTACTCGCGCAGCGCCTGGCTGATCAAATTATACTTCTGTATGCGCTCAGCAATCTCGTTTTGCAGCGTGTCATAGTCTTTGTCGAAGAACAAGAGACTTTCTTGGATGGCCGGCATACTGCCGATATCTTCACGCATCAGTAAGGAACCCTCATCATGCAAACGATTCTTCAGTTCGGCCTGTCCCTTGATAACTTCGTTGAGTGCCACCAAGTCGGCTATAATTTGATCAATATTATGCAAACCGGGCTTCTGTTGCAGTATGCTATGCAATTTGGCGCGATTATCGATCAGCGCCTGACCGAAGTTTTGGCCAAGCGTTTGGAATTTCTCTTTGCGTACATTCATCTGTTCGGCCTGTTGTTTTTGTGCCTGCGAACGTAACCTCAAATTGTCCAACTTGTTTTCAACATCATTGACAATCTGTGTAGCAATCAGCGGCTTGCGCGACAAAGCGTCACGCAGTTGTATGGCTGGGTTTTCATCGATTTCCTTGGCTTGCGCTTTCCAGTAGCTGACCGAACTGCCTATCGTGTCGATCTCGTTGATGATCTTGTTAAGCTCCACGGGCTTCGGGCCTTCGGGCTTCTCCAGCTGATGTTTCAAGTAATTCAAATGACTTTCGGTCTCATTTTTCCAGCCCAATATCTCTGTCCACTTCTCGAGCGCATTCTTCTTTTGTTGCAAATTGGTTTCAAGATTCTGATAGTTAATAACCAGCGAGGTGTAGGCGTCATATAGCGTCTTTGCCTCCTCGGCTGGTGCGGAAAGCGAGAGTTGTTTAACTTCATCGTAAATTGCATTGAAGCTGGGCTTCTTATCAGCATGTTCTTGCATCAAAGCATGTATGACGTGCAAGCTTGTCTCCACACGTTCTGGGTTAATCTCTTCGACTTGCGCCACTTGGTTGCGCAGCTGATCCATCCAGTTGGAGAAGTTCACCATTTTGGCATTGAAATCTTGGCGCGCTATAATTGCATCGGACACTTCGTTGATGTTGGCGCGTGTCGCCTCGGACAACTTCTGCAGCTTGGCTTTCATGCCATTCACGCGTTCCTTAAGCGCAACAGCGACCTCTGGCGCCAAATGCAAGCTTATCTGATCGGCCGACTGACCGAGTGCGACGAGCTTTGCTTGCTGCTCCGAAATTTCGTTGTTGAATGACTTGAGTTTGACAAGCTCCTTTTCGAGCTTATCGACATGCGGGGTGTTCAGCACAGCCGAGCGTTTTCCCAGCGCCTGCTCGCCTTTGTTGACCCAATCTTCGAGTTTCGATGCGTCGGCATCGAACGATTTCCAATTGGCTACCAATTTTTCCAGCTTACCACTGGCTTGCTTGGCATTTTCATGAACCGATGTCCAGCGGGAATGCATGGCATCTAATTCGTCAGGGGCATTGGTTTTGCACAGCATTTTATGACTAATGTTTGAAATGCCTTGGAGCCTGTCTAACTGCTCGAGGCATTGTGTTTCGAATTGTTTGGCGTTTTGTTGCAATGCAACGGCTTCTTCAAGTGTAAGGGGCTTAGGAACTATGGTATTTACCTTGATTTCACACTCCTCAACTATCGGTTTGGTTTGCTGCAAACCAGTTTGGTACTGTTGCCAGTTCACCAGATCCTCCTTCACAGCCTTTGCTTGATGATCGACATTGCGATTGATTGCGCTCAGCACTTCTTGCAGCTTGGTGATTTCGCCCTTCAGCCGTTTAGCCTCGGCTATGTTGCCCTCCTTGGTTGCCAGCTCGGCTGCATCCGACGCCAATATGTCTAGCTGTTTCATGCGTTCACCAAGCACACCCTTAAATGCGTTCACCTTCACTACACGCTCTTCTGGTGTCAGATCTTCAGACTGCAAAGCCTCAATACTCTTAGGCGCCACACGGTTAGCCCATTCGTGCAATTCAGATAGCCGCGATTTGTAGTTGTTCCACTTGGCGCTGTAGTCCTCCAAATAACCGACACGATCCTTCACATGTTCCATGGTATTGAAGAACATCTTCTCGACCTCAGTTACCTCCTTCTCCAATATGGGGCGCTTATCGGCAGCGGCCAATGGCGCCAGCTCAGCCTTCAGATGATGCAATTTGGGTAGCAATTGATGTGAGGCTTGCTGCAGTTGCACATTCAGCTCACGTTTCGCTTGCAAATCTTGACTCACATTTTTCGGATCGGTTTGAAGTGGTGTCAGCGCACGCAATTCGGTCTCTGCTGTCTGCAACATGGAGAAGATGTCACTCTTCTGATCGACAAAGTCATTCCACACAGCCTGGGTGCCCTTGAGCGACTGCAGCTTGTCGGCGGTTTCGGTATATGCCTCATTCCAGCCGCTCTCCAAATTCTTCACCTCTATATTGACGAACGAAGGCGCGTGCACATCCTTGCTCAAGTCACGTCCACGCTGCAACATCGACATTATGTGTGGACGTTGATGGTCAAGCTGACTAATGGCGTATTGTTGCTCTTCAATCAATTTGTTGACGCGTTCAAGGCTCTCTGGTGGTGGTATATTGGTGGCTTGCTCCTTAACTTTGCTAAGCAGACAGACAACCTCGTGCACCTCGCGGCGATACGTGTAGCACTTGGAGAACACCTCCGTCTTCACCATTGTTATCTCGATGGTTGGTATGAGGTTCTTGTAGCGAGCAATTAGGTCTTCGAGTTTCTTCTGTTCGAGATTTGCCTCATCTTCACTGGCGTAGCTAAGTAAGGAGTCTAGCGTTTTCACCAGCCATTTCATGTCCTCCCGTTTGTTATCTGCTTCCTGGCAGATTCTCTGTAAATGGTTTAAAGAATGGTATGGAAATTTTATAAATGGTAAATAAAGAAAAATTTGAGGTCAATTGAAGGGAGTATAATTTTACCACAAGTTCCCTGAGCTGCGTTAATGGAATTTTAATGAAAATTGTATTAGTATCATGATTGCAACACTGATTGAGGTAATGGATTAGAGAATATCGGTGTGTGGATATTGAAGCAATTAAAATCTTTTGAGTAGCCAAGAATTAAAAAAAGAAAACGGAATGGGTGCGCCTGAGCCGCGCCACGTAAGGGCAACTTTTCGTGATTCACTTCTTAATCATGCCATAATCCTGATAGTTAAATTTTTTATCTACCGAACTTCACATAGGACTACGATCAGTGATTTCAAATTAATCAAATCAATGCACATTAGGTCAAATGATTACTTTTTCTGTGCGAAATTAATAGCAGCTAAAATATAGCATTCTTTTAATATAAAAGGATGGAAACCGTTAAAAAAGTGTAAAGTCAGTAAACAAAATGACTTCGCTTTCGTAAAACAGACTTTTTTATGTTCAAATGATGAGTATATGTGTTTAGGTAGTTCTCGAAAACATTATCCAAATACTCAACCCGGAGGGGGTTAAGCTACATAAATAAAATAAGTATGGTCATATGTACAAAAATGGTTTCATCTAGGGATTAAAAAAATATATATTATCGAAGTCCCTTAATAAAAAAAAAA